GCCATACGCCGAGCATGTAAATGATCCCGCTGAAACCTGCAAGCCAGCACCTCCGATCCCACCGTAAACAATCCTGCACTCGCTACTCTCTACAGTTGATTTTGAAGCTGCCCTTTTACAAAGGAAAATTGCTTCCTGGGAAATCTTTCCTCCTCCACACCTGGGCTGAAGTGCCAACACCAGCTCCAGGGCCCAGGGTGGACCCCGCTGCTTCTTCAGGGCAATGTTGCAGCTGACCAAGGCCCCAGAAAACAGTCCGAGAAAAGGGTTCATTTCAGCACTTGGCTGGTTTTTAATACGCGCATCTGAGGTTTTCCTATCAGAGGAGAGGACTGTTCAGAGGATGGCATCCAGATGATTCAGGAGGTGAGCGTGATGACAGCCTGGTTAGGAACACTCTGCTCAGCAACTTCACCGAGGGCCGTGAAGAGCTGAAACCACTGTTTTTAATCTCCTGTGCTTGGGGGATTTAAAGAGAAGCAGGAAGATCACAAGGATCACTTCGGGGCTCAAACTCATGACGATGATATCGTTTCATCCCAGGGCAAGACCAAATGTCCAGTTTTCAAGTCCCTTCCACCCCCGCCCCGAGTCACCTTTGTGGTTCCCCGAGAGGTGAGGTTCTAGAACGGCAGGTCAGACTGTTATAGACCATCCAAAAGCAAGTAGAGAAAAAGGAGTACTTTACTGAAAGGAGTAGTTCCTGGGAGAATCAAGTCACCTTTATAACATCAAAGGGTAACCATGAAAAGGGGTTACTGACAAGTACCTGATATTTTAGAGAAGTTAAAGATGGCATCTATCAGCAAACAGGGAACTATAGCTGCATTCTGAGGATATGTCTTATTCATCTTCGCATCCTTCGACTCCAGCACCACGCCAGGAACATGGAAGACGCTGAATAAATCTCTTCATAGTGGTTTCTGGGCTAGATCGTGAATGGGCGAACATGCAAGGCCAGGCCCTGGGGGTCAGGACCAGAGACTTCCTTGAGACGCTGACCGTGGAAGATCTTATGTGGGAGCTTAACTTTTGTCTCACATTCTATAAATTATGACCAAAACCACTATATAAATTTTGAGGCCAAGTAAAGGAAAAGCGCTAGACTTACTGCATAGACATCGGTTATGGAAGGAGAGTTTTTGAAATCAAGGGACTTTAAAAACTGGGGATCCAGGAGTTTAAAAGTGAGAAAACTACCTCTCTAGCTGTTGCTTCTGCAGTGAAGTCAATAAATCATTCACTTACGGTTTTCTTCCAAGTTTCTTAGAAAGCTTTGTTCTCATCAAGAAATTTAATCATTTACGGTGAAAGCTGTGATCCCTGGACCACACGCTAACCTAGTGAGAATCTAAAAACAGGAAAAGCAAGCTCTTCCTCTTTGAAAAAAAGGCCCACAGATCTTCCAAATATGGTCGGTATGCCCACAGGCTAGTTTGTAGCAACCTTCCGTATTTAAACACTCTGTATTCTGTGAGGCAGTCAGGCCCAGACATCAGTGGCCACTCTTCTGCCTCCTCTTCAGTGGCCCTGCAGCCACCCCTGCCCTGGGTGAGGGTACGTCTGCAGCGGACTTGCTACTGTGTTCCCTGTGACAATCTATTTTTCATGGTGGAAGACTAGCATTTTGATATTTCAGAAACAACTGAATGGACCCTAAGAAGAAAGTTCCGAGGCAAAAAGTTCTGCATCTGAAATTGGGGTTTTCAGGAAAGAAGGGGAGTTCTCTCCATGCTGAGATGTGGTTCCGTCTTGTAGAAAGTGAGTTTTATTGCCATCTTTCTACACAGGACAGTGATACAAAGGATGGTCTTGGTCACACTCACACCACATACCTTCTTCTGGGATGAACCTTTCATGAAAGATACGGTACTTCTGGGACCTTTGCACACATCAACTACTCTAGATCAGGGCTCCCTCAGGCCTGCCTCAAGTTGCAAACATGTTCAGGTGGCTTTGTTGTAGTGGTTGATTCATGTGTCTTTCTAGAAGATAATACCCACACTGCTACATATCTAAGGAAAAAGAGAGAATCTTGGAAAGAAGGGGCTACACAAAGACAGAAATGAGCGAACCTACTACTTTAAGCCCCACTCTTCCTGTGCAGAGCACTTGTTTTTTGTTTTTCCTGCAGTTCTCAAACGCCTACTGTGAGCCAGTTTTTACTTACACTCCGGTTATGACCAGCACACTACTGCTAAAGTTAGTTTATAATATTCTGTGACAGAAAACAGATATTCTAAACTCCAAGGAGAACCGCAAACCAGATCACATGATAGGCTGGAGAGAAAGCAGGCACAAGAAGAAAAGCTGGCCTTTCTGTTCAGCCACAAGGAGAGACTAAGTTTCTCACAAATGCTTGCAGTCTGATCACCATGGCTAAGGGCGGTCAGTGGTAGAAGAAGGGTTGTGCCCAGCAGAGCTTTGCTTAGAGGAGTCATGTGCCCACAGGCTGATGGCTCTGTTCATGTCCCCAGCTGAGCTGCCCTGGGTCTCAGCCCAACAGCCCAGTTCAAAGGTACACTGAAATGAAAGGTAAGGCAGAGGGAAAGCACAAAACACCCACTGTGAGGTTCTTGAGGAATAACTTGGTTCTCCTCCTTAACATCTGCCCACGGAACGTTAGCTCATTTTGTCCCATTGGCTATTAGAGGCCCTTTCTCTTCTTGGCAGCTGGTTCTCCTCCTGACCCTAGGTCCTCCCATGCATGGCTCACCGAGTAAAATCATAGCTTTCTCCAAACTCTTACTTTGTATTGATACAACGGACTTTATAAACTACCAGCTATTGGCTGTTGATTCAAATTCCGACCCACAGTCAGAGACAATGGATTGTAGTAGAAAAAAAAAAAAGAAAAGAAAAAAGAAAAACCAGGACAGAAAGTGCTTCACCAGCCATTTTACTCTTCTTTAATTCCACTGTCTTAGGGCACACATTGTATTTGCTACTGAAATTATGACAGCGAGGCTGACAGCACTGATTCATAACACATTCTTTGCACCACACAAAGAGTAAAATCCTAGAGTAACTGGGTCATCTGTTACCACAACAGAGCTGTCTCATTTGCTGTATAAGAGAATGCTTATGCAGGAGTCAGGGAGAGACGGGAAGAATGGAAGCATCCAGGGGCACGTGAACCTACAAGTATGTCTAAAAATAAAGAATTTGGTGGAAAATCCAAAATGCACCTAAGGCTGATAGGAAACCATTTGGATACAGTTCCATTCTTTCCAGAAATTACTGAATTTGGAACCTGAGGTTAAGACTTTTAGGATAAAGCAACCTCAAATCAGTTCAGACTGGCCGTGGGAAGAAATGGCAACCATTGATGGTACTGAGTTTCAGTCCTTGAAAACGAGACTTTTCAAAAATCAACCTATACACCTGACTTGACTCAAGGTGAAAAAAAAATGTCTTATCTAAAAATGGTTAAGTCTGCAGCAAAAAGGTCTGAAAGTGAAAGTTGGAGCCCCTTTTCAAAAACCTTTTCATCTTGCTGCTGGCGCTCGCTCTCCTTACAGTACCTCTGGAAAAGGTTCAGAATTCAAGACAGGTTTATTAGGTTGATCTTCAACATGTAGTTTAAGATGAAGAGTCCTGTTTGGTTTAAACCACGCCATTTAATTTCTTGGTAATGGTAGTCCTGAGAGTCTGCAGTGTTGGTAAAATCCACCTGTGACCAAGGGTTACACTGCTGGTGGGAGCACAGCAACTTCATGGTCCGTCCCTTCTCCTCAGCCTTGTCCCTCAAATCTGGTAGTTTTTGCACCGAGGGACTCAGTCCATCACAATGACGTATGTCCAAACCATTTTCTGTAGATACCTCCTTCCAGCGCCCAATGGTACAGGTGGTCAGGAAGACTTGGAAGGAAACTGCAAAAAGTCCAGCTGGGAATCTTGCCTTTGTTAGATGTGGACACAGGAAAATCATCTTTGTCCTCCCCAGATTTTATTATAGTCAAAGGAGAAAAATCCATGGGATTCTAATTGCAAATATGCTAAATATAAAATTGATGGAATGCTAACTGGTCCATAAAGGGCTGTACAAGATAATCTGTGGCAAAGTAGAAAACCAGCCCAAAAGTGATAGAGATCGGAAGAGCTGGCAATGCTTTCTTGAAAATGGCGAGGAGTAACAATGTAAGGCACAAACCCTGTGGAGAGGAGGGGAAAAGACACAGACTCAGACAAAAGTATGGAAGTATTTCATGTAAAAACAACCCCATCACAAGTCCTGGTCTTAATTTAGTTCACTGAATTGAATACTATCCTTTGAGGTTAAAATTTAGGACAATTTTTTTAATTAAATTTGGAAACATTTATTTTCCTTTGCAGCATAGGGTTCATAATGCACACACTGTTGACACTTCACCCCCTAAATCTAGGTAAGAAATAGAACCCAAAAATAAGTATAACTATTTTAAATAACTGACATTTCTATCTAAAATACTGAGTAGGCTAACTGTGAGTTTAGTTTGGCTGGCTAAAATCCCAGAGGTGAAAAGCATCCTCTGTGTTTTATGGGGGCAAAGAGGTGCTCACAGAATAAACCAGTAAAAGTTTATGATACATACATAGGTTTCTCTCACTATCTGAAAGTAGAGCATTCCCATGAAGCCTTTTGTAAGGCAAATGGCATGAAGTGAAGCGTATCGCCATTTTCTCAGAGTTCAAATTATGCCACTTCACTTTTATGAAAGACCATTAGTATGGGAATGTTTTTTTTTTTTAAAGCAAAAATCCTCCTTGGATTTCTTTTGGTTAGCAAAAATAGCTAAGTGAACTTTCAGAAAGTGGAGGAATACCTGTAAACGCAGAGCAGTCATATAATAGTGTCCATTTTTTAACCCTAGCTATTGAGACAAGGTCTAAAAACTGCGCATCATTTCAGCTTTACCCAGAATAAGTCATTTTCTTCTTAAAAGATACCACACATTCAGAAAACTAACCTCAAAAGAAAAATGAAACACATGAAAAATTTTAACTGGTTTTATTATCATGACAAACCACAGATGTCATCATAAAATAAATGCATAAGAGGCTCTCATCTAACTTCACTCACATATACCAAAGACATCGCATCTTTAGCAAAAATACCAATAAGATATATCTTATGACTTATAGTTTTGAAAGCTTCAAGGTTCATGTTGTGACACTAAAAGCAAGATCTATACGGCATCATGCACTGTGTTAGCTTTTCTTGCCTCATACTTGCTGCCCAAGGAGCACCATCTGCTGCAGGCTGTGGCATTAAAGGCAAAATCACCACCAGACTCAGGGACTAAGTAAGGATCCAAGTACCCCTTTAAGACTGATCTAACACAACTAACTTCCTACATATCTATGCTGCCAGGCTTGAACAGCAGTTCCTAATCCGAGGTGCCTATCAGAACTTTCCGGGGAACTTCTAAAAAAAAACAAACAAAAACACCCCACATACAATTAAAACTAATTTAAGTATCTCAGGGAAGGGACCCCTGGCTGGCTCAGTCGGAGGAGCATGCAACTCTTGATCTAAGGGTTCTGAGTTCAAACCCCACACTGGGTATAGAGATTACTTAAATAAAACATAAACAAGACAAAACAAAACAAAACAAAAAACAAACTCAGGGCAGGGACGCAGAGTTCTAAAAGCTCCCAGGTGATTTTAATGGATGGCCAGGTGGCAACCCATTCAGCTAAGTTTCAATTTTTTTTTTTTTAAAGCTCTCCAGGTGACTGGCACACTCAGCCCAGCTGGGGTTAAAACGGACCACCTTAAAGGAACGACATAATCCGAGTTTTGAGATGAGGAGCTGGGACATGTTTTTATTAGTGTATACTTACAATTAATATGGCTACGAAACAGGCTATGGTTGTGTTCCAGTCTCCACTGGCTGTTGCAGAAGCTTTACCAACCAGAACACTGTAGAAAATGAAATCTCCTAATCCAAGTTTTACTCCCCCTAAAAAAAGAAAAATTAGGAAGTTCGTCACTCTTTGAGATCAACTCAAAAATGTAACTGCTGCAAAAAAAAAAAAAGTCACTGCCGCATTCCATCCTGTACTGAATGAGAAAACAGTAAATGATACATAAAATTCGGCTTTAACTAGGTTTTCTTTTTTGGTTCCCTCCAATATGAATTTTGGATTCTATGTAGCTAACTCTGGGGTCTTTAACAGTAGATGCTGTTGTTATATATAAAAAGAATAAATAATAACTGTCCTTACTGAATGCCTTGTTTACACATGGCACTTGCGCTCATAAATCCTCACAAGAACCCCTATGATAGGTATAATTTACTTCATAAAGTATGCCCATTGTAAATGTACAGTTCAATTATTGTAAAAAATTTATAGAGTTGTCCAACCATCACCACAATCCACATTTCCACCACCCCAGGCCTTTTGCAACCACTGATCTGTTTTCTCTCTATATATGACTCTTCTAGACATTTCAAAGAAATGGACTCATAACAGTATGTAGTCTTTGTGACTCACTTCTTTCACATAACCTATTTTTGAGGTTTATCCATGATATTACATGTATCTGTACGGTTTCTTTTTACTGATGAATAGTTTTCCATTGTATGAGATATATTTTACCAGTTGATGGAGATTTGGCTTGTTTTCAGTTTGGGGCTATTATGAATAATGGTGCTATGAACATTATGTTGTGACCAAGGGTACACATCTTTGTGTGGACACGGTTTTCATTTCCATTGGGTAGATTGCTACAAATGGAATTGCTAGGTTATATGGTAAGTTTATCTTTAGTTTTGTAAGAAACTGCCAAATTGTTTTCCATACTGGTTCTACCACTCTACATGGCCACCAGCAACACAGGAGCATTCTGGTTCCTTCACATCCTTCACCAACACTTGGTACTGCTAGTCTGTTTGATTATAGCCATTCTGATTAATGATGTTGAGCAACTTTTCATGTGCTTATTAGCTCTTATAGTTCTCCTTTGGTGAAATGTTTAGCCAAAGCATTTCCCTATTTTTTATTGGGGTTATCTTTTTTTTTAATTTTATTTAAATGTGAACCAGAAATGTTTATTGCAGAAATCTGGTCAAAGTCCTCATCAGGTGGCCCCTGTTGAGGTTGGACTGGGGCCCTCTGTTCAGTGCTGGGCATATGTAAGTTATCTTCTATTATTGAGTTGTGAGCATTATGTTTTTAAAGATTTTATTTATTTATTTATTTGAGAGTGAGCGAGAGAGCGAATAAGTGAGCACAAGTGGGGGTGGAGGGGCAGGCAGAGAAAGAGGAGAAGCAGACTCCCCACTGAGCAGGGAGACCCATGCGGGGCTCGATCCCAGGACCCTGGGGTCATGACCTGAACCGAAGGCAGTCGCTTAACCGACTGAGCCACCCAGGTGCCTCTGAGCATTCTTTACATATCCTCAACACAAGTTCTTCAACAGGATTTGAAATATGATTTGTAAATATTTTCTTAGTCTGTGTCTTCTCTTCCTTAAGAGTATCTTTTCTAAAAAATTTTTAATTGTGGTAAAATACACAATTCGATGGCATTAAACTGACACTATTGTGCTACCATCCTCATCCCCCATTCACAGAATTCTTTACATCTTGCAAAACTGAAGCTCTGTGGTCATTAAACACAAACTGCTCCTTCTCTCCCTCCAGCCTCTGGCAACCATCATTCTGTTTTCTGAGTTTGACTACTCTAAGTACCTCATATAAGTGGAATCACACAGTATATGTTTTTGTGACTGGCTTATTTCACTTAGCATAACGTCCTCAAGTTCATCCATGTTATAGCATCTGTTAGAATTTCCTTCCTTGGGGTGCCTGGGTGGCTCAGTCAGGCGAGCGTCTGCCTTCGGCTCAGGTCATGATCACTGGGGTCCTGGGATCGAGTACCACGGTGGGCTCCCTGCTCAGCGGGGAGTCTGCTTCTCCCTCCTCTGCCTGCCACTCCCCTGCTCATGCTCTCTCTCTCAACAAAAAATCTTAACCAAAAATAAAGAATTTCCTCCCTTTTTAAGGTTAACAATATTCCATTGTATGTATACACATTTTATTTACACACTCATCCATCAATGGACACTTGGGTTGCTTCCACCTCATGGCCACTGTGGATAATGCTATGAAATTGGGTGTACAAATATCTCTTCTCTCTTTTTTTTAATTTTTTTTTAAAGATTTTATTTATTTATTTGAGAGACAGAGAATGAGAAATAGAAAGCACAAGAGGGGAGAAGGTCAGAGGGAGAAGCAGACTCCCCGCCGAGCAGGGAGCCCGATGCGGGACTCGATCCCGGGACTCCAGGATCATGACCTGAGCCGAAGGCAGTCGCTTAACCAACTGAGCCACCCAGGCACCCCCAAGTATCTCTTCTCTTAATGGTATCTTTTGAAGTGCAAACGTTTTTGATTTTGGCAAAGTCCAAGTCTATCAATTTTTTCTTCTATGTATCAGTGTTGTATTGAAGAACTCTGCCCAACCCAAGGTCATAAAGTTTTTCTTCTGTTTTCTTCTAGAAGTTTTAGTTTTACAAACACTTACATTTCAGTTTATGATCCATTTTGAGTTCATTTTTTATTGTGTCCATGACGGATGGACAGGGTGAGGCAGGGGTTTCCATTCATTCTTTTGCATGTGGATATCTAATTGTCCCAGCACCATTCCTGTTGAATTATTTTAGCACCTTTGTAAAAATTACCATAATCGTAAGGGTTTACTTCTAGATTCGCAATTCTGTTCCACTGATTTATATGCCTATCCTTGTGCCTGGATTGATTACTATGCCTTTAGAGTAAGTTTTGATGTCAGAGAGTGTAAATCCACCAATTTTTTCTTCTCTTTCAAAATTGTTTTGGATATTCAAAGTTCTTTACATTTCCATCAGCTTGCAGACAATGACAAGCTGATCCTAAAACTTGGAACAAACATGCAAAGGCCCTACCGTTTTCTGTTATCAAATATTTTTTCCCTTCAAATTCTTTTCAAAACAATATATAATTAAGTAAAGGCTAAACAATGGATTCAAAAGATATGTTTTAACTTTGGGTGCCATTACTAATCCATAAAGCTTTACAACTGGCTTTCACCTTTCTGTTAACTATTCCCAGCTGAAGTTTGAGCCAGTCTGGTCTTAAAGTTTTGTTGTCTGGGTTAGAGAACCACTTCCAGGAGATAGAGGTGGAGGGCCCTGAGAGGTATGGTCTGTTCCACATGTGGGTGAGAAAGAAGCAGAGCGCTGGTTAATAAGATTACTGAGAAACCAGTGTTCTTCTTGAGTTGTGGGAGCCAGAGCAAAATCTTCCTTAATGGAAAAGATAAACATATGACCCATGAAATCTGAAGCTATGAATTACAGTGTCAAACACCCTTTAACTTGCTAACCTTCCCAGACTGATGAATACTCTCTCCAGTTTCATGTGTACAGAAGAGGCCAGCTCTACTACTTAAGTACTTGTGTGATCCAGAGCAAGTTGATTAACTATTTAATCCTCAAATCCCTCAGCTCTAAGATGGGGGATTTCAGAGTTGTTATCAAGAGTTAAAAAATAGGGCGCCTGGGTGGCTCAGTTGGTTAAGCAACTGCCTTCGGCTCAGGTCATGATCCTGTCCCAGGATCCAGGCCCACATCAGGCTCCCTACTCAGCAGGGAGTCTGTTTCTCCCTCTGACCCTCCCCCTCTCATGCTCTCTCTCTCAAATAAATAAATAAAATATTAAAAAAAAAAGTTGAAAAGTAAGACAGGAAAAGTTCTTGGCACAAAGGCTAAACAAATAATAACCTTAGAAAGACTGATTTCAAATGTTAAGTGCTATAAGTAAAACTAAATTCTTCAGAAAAAAATGTTATAGAAATGAAATTTTTAAAATAATGCAGGAAAAAAAATTTGCCTTTACCTGAAAACAAACTTGTAGCTAGAATATATAAAGAACCATTACAACCCAATAATAAAGAGACAAATAAAAATGGTCAAAGGATCTGAATACAATTCTCCAAAGAAAATATAAAAATGGCCAATAAGCACACACAAAAAATACTCAACATCATCACCCATTAGGGAAATGCAAATGAAAACCATAATAAGATATCACTTTATACCCACTAGAATGATTATAATGAAAAAGACAGATAATAAGTGTTGGTGAGGATGTGGAAAAATTGGAGCATTCACACACTGCTGGTGGGAAGGATGGCTGCTTTGGAAAACAGTCTGGCAGTTCCTGAAAAGGTTAAACAGTTACCATATGACCCAGCAATTCCACTCCTGGGTATATACCCAAGAGAAATAAAAACATGTCCACACAAAAACTTGTACATGAGTATTGATAGCAACATTATGCATAACAGCCCAAAATGAAAACAGCCTAGATATCTGTTAATTGATGAATGGGTAATAAATATAATATAATATATATAATACAAAAATAATACGTGGGATATACATAAAATGCAGTATTTGGCTATAAAAAGAAATGGAAGTACAGACACACACTACAACAGAGATGAACTTTGAAAACATAATCCTAAGTGAAAGAAACCAGTACAAAGGACCATATATTGTAGGATTCCATTTATATGAAATGTCCAGGATAGGCAAATCTATTAAAATAGTATATTTGTTGGTGTTAGGGGGGGACATGGGGGCTAATGAGTTTGGTGTTTCTTTTTGACATGATGAAAATGTTCTAAAATTCACTTGTGGGGATGGTTGCACAGTTCTGTGAATATAATAAAAATAATTGCATTATGTACTTTAAATGGGGGGATGGGAGGGATTGGAGAGCTGGACAGCTAAGGAGTGTGAGTTCTTTTCGAGGTAATGAGACTATTCTAAAATTAATTGTGGTGATGGCTGAACAATTCTGGGAATATATTAAAAAGCTATCAAAAAGTAAACAAAAAGGGGCACCTGGGTGGCTCAGTCATTAAGCGTCTGCCTTCAGCTCGGGTCGTGATCCCAGGGTCCTGGGATCGAGCCTTGCATCAGGCTCCCTGCTCAGGGGGGAACCTGCTTCTCCCTCTCCCACTCCCCCTGTTTGTGTTGCCTCTCTCGCTGTGTCTCACTGTCTCTGTCAAATAAATAAATAAAATCTTAGAACAAAAAAAAACTTCTTAAAAAAAGTAAACAAAAATGGGGCGCCTGGGTGGCTTGGTCAGTTGAGCGTCTGCCTTCAGCTCAGGTCATGATCTCAGGGTCTTGGGACAGAGTCCCACATCGGGCTCTGCACGGCGGGAAGCCTGCTTCTCCCTCTCCCTGCCAGTCGCCCTGTTTGTGCACTCTGTCAAATAAATGGGTAAAATCTTAAAAAAAAAAAAAAGTAAATAGGATGATGGGTATTGAGGAGGGCATGTGCTGTGATGAGCATTGGGTGTTATACATAACTGATGAATTGTTGAACACTGCATCAAAAACTAAAGATGTACTATACAGTGGCTAACTGAACATAATTAAAAAAAAAGAGAGAGAGAGCACTCAAACACAAGGGCAGTCATGAAATAGTCGTGCTGCCTCTATGCTCAACGGCTATATTACTTCTTTCTTTTGGCTGTAGGCACCCTTGACAAAAGAGAGGAACAGAAGAGTCAACCTAATTACGGTGGTAACTTTGCAGGCAGAGAATATATCAGCAAAGACAAGCTCAAGCCCAGCTGTCAGATGAGGCAACTCTGTCTAGTTTCCCTGGAGTGTGAAAGTCACAGGCTGCAGTTGGCTCTAACATCTGGAAAACTCAGCCAAGCACCAAAGTCAAGGATATGACCAGGTTCTGACCCAGTTAAGAGAGTAAGGCTGAGCTGTAAGAAGTGTTCTGCTCAAGCTGAAGGATAATGTCAAGATCATAATAATTAGTGATCAGTAAATAAAGAAGCTAAGAAATCTAGGTGTTTGTTTCTTTAAAACTACTTAATATTTTCAATATAATGTCTTATTCCAGGGCTTCACTTTTGTGAGAAGAAAAAAAAAACACCAAGAATAATTTAGTTGGAATATGTGTTAATCTCTTAACAAATCACACCTTTAAGACTAACTGAAGAGATGACTGAGCCCTAACCAAGGGGCTCTACTGGCTGATAATGTTCCCAAGAAGCCCCAAGGGCTAACTGAAATCTAAATGCCAACGTATCTTAGACATTGAATAAATGCTTGCATTTCTCCCCATAACCTAAATCCCTCTGATTTTCTTTAAAATTCATAAAATACAGTGCTTGCCAGCAAAGGGAATAATGTGTAAAAGGCTAAAACATTCAAATCCACAGGTCTCTGCACAGCAAAGAGGAAATACATTAAAGAAATTTTTGTACACAAATATTGCAGTCATGAAGTCTTACTGCAATAATAATTCTGAAAGTATCTTTTACCTTACAAAACAAATGCCAAAATTCAGTCTATAAAGGGCCATTTCCAAAAATGTGAGGGGCAGAATCTGGCCCATTAACAAACTGAACTATGAGAAAAGCAACAACTATTAGTAGGTCCCACTAAAAGCTACACTCTGTTATTCAGAATTAGACTGTTAACACTCTCCATTCATTTTATTTTTGAAGAGTTTGGTAATGCAGCACATAAAGGAACCCATGACTGTTGAACACAGAGAAATGCACGTACTTTCTTCTGGATCCTCATTGGCAAGGATGTTGCTGGAAAGTTCCTGCACAGCAGCTCGTGTCTCAGTCGTAGAATGATGAGGTCCTAGGTGACTGTCCCTCTGGGCTTCCCACTCTTCACTGAAGCCACCATCATCACTCTCTGTCACAGGGTCTTGGGTCTCGCTTTCGGTGCCTTCAAGAGAAAGTGGAGATTACAGCTCTGTAACATTTAGAAAAATTTCTTAATACCTTTAAGAAAACTACATGGAAACAGTAACTACTCAACTGTCATGTAACTAGGTTAGTTGGCTCTTAAACCACAAATAAGCTGTAAAAATGCCTGAAGTTTGCTTGACCAATAACTATTTCCCTCCTTGTTTCCTGAGGGCAGAGTCCTGATTTGTTTGTGTTTCCACCTCTCATGTACATGACTCTAGCAGTAAATCATGATCAAGCCAAGCCAAGCATGGTAACCTAATTCCTCTTCCCAATGAAAGCTCTAAGGGTGGGGCTGATACTAGCCAATGTGTGGTGAGGCAAAGTCTGCTCTGAATTTGGGGGAAATTTTTCTCACTCTTTGAGACTCAAGGAAGAAACAAACAGCCCCTTTCTAACCCTGGATGATGTCTCATCTGGATATAATGGCTGGAACTACAGTTGTCATCTTCTGACCATGAGAAGCAGCGGGCTGAGGACCAAACCCGTATCTAAGAATGGCAGAGCAGGAAGATGGAAAGAACCTGGGCCCTTGATGACATCAGTGGATCATAAAACTGACCAACCCTACAAATGCCTGCACCTCAGGACTTCTGGTCACATGAGAGAACATAATCTTCTTTGTTTAAAGCAACTGAGTTCGGTTTTCTGATCTTGGCAGCTGAAAGCCTAACTGATGACACTCACCTGTGGCTTTAGTGACTAAGATAAAAAGTAGACCATTATTGTGGGGTGGGGTAGGAAAGGAGGGGGTGAATTTTTTTATGGGTCAGTCATTTTGTTATAATGACTATCAATCAGACTGAAAATTGTGAGCATAACATGACAGTCTTGAGAAACGTCCATACATCAAAGATAATTAGGATACGTAAGTGAAGTTGATAACTTTTTTCTTCCTTCATTATTATATTTAATAAAAGTAAAACATGTTCATAGAGGTGGATTTACCATGAAAATATACTTCAGGCCTCTCACTTACACGGAATTCTTCAGGGAGGCGATAGCAATTCTGTATTTGTAACTCGTATTCTTTTTCTTAACCAAGTCCTCAATAAATCCTGAATCTTCCATGGTTTGGAGTTTACAAGATCATATAAGCCTAAGATTTATAAATAAAAACAGCAGTCCCTGCTCTGCCCCATACCTCCTCACTCCTACCTGCGAACCTTTCAAGCCACCCCTTTTGGAACCCTATGTCTTTCTGTTCCAATCTAACTTCTAGGTCTTCTAACACAGAGTTTTTTAGCTAGTGGGTAGCACCTCCCTTCCAGGGGGTATTTGGAAATATCTAGGATGGAGGGCTTTTTGCCTACTGCAATACCTTGAAGCCACTATTAGCATTTAGTGAGTGAGGGGCCAGATGTGCTAAAAAACCGGCACCGAGGGGAAGCCCCACACAATGAAGAAATGCCCACCCAAAATACCACAGCACTCCCACTGAGGAACTCTGCAAGTTCACCTAGCTCCTTCTAACTTCAAGGCTCTTTTGAGTTGTTTCCTCTTCTGGAAAGTTCTACTTGTCAGCTGGTTGTCACCTATTATCACTTCCTCAGGGAAGCCTTCCTGACTTTCCAGAGTAAATGATATTCCTCTACTATAAACTTTCATAGCAACCATACTTCTCCTTTGTAGTGCTTATCACAACTGTATGAATTATTTATGGAATTATTTGAACATTTGTGTCTGTCCAAATAGGTTATAAGCTCCAAACGGACAGGATATCTTGTTCAGTGCTACATTCCCAGTGCCTAGTAAAATACCAGGCGCACAGTTAGGCGCTCAATAAATATTTGTCAAGGGGCGCCTGGGTGGCTCAGATGGTTAAGCATCTGCTTTCGGCTCAGTTCATGGATCTCCAGGTCCTGGGATCAAGCCCCACGTTGGGCTCCCTATGCTTTGGAGAGTCTGCTTCTCCCTCTCCCTCCTCTCCTGCTCATGTTTCTTCTCTCTCTCTCTCTGTCTCAAATGAATAAATAGAAATCTTAAAAATATTTGTCAAAAGAATAAAATCTTTTTCACCAGACTCATATATATACTCATAGACAACTCATCTTTTAATTGTCTTTAGCTTAACACAGATCAACACAATAGCCAAACTTATAGCAATTGTTTCCAATATATTTCCTTCTTCTCCACCAGGTCTCCTACTGGTTCTGCTGCCTTGCTCACTGCAGAATTTCCAGTTAAAAGTGTGCTCTTTGCTGTTACCCAAATTCTAACTCAGCGGACTTCATGGCTCTTTAAACCTAAACTTTCCTTTTCCCGACAGACAGTAACCCAGTTAAGGCCCTTTTTTCTTCTCTCACCAATCGTTGCCTATTTCTCACAGCTTCCTCTAAGGTTAGCTCTTTTTTTTCCTTTAAAGTTTCCTTTCTTCTTGGGGCACCTAGGTGGCTCAGTCCTTAAGTGTCTGCCTTCGGCTCAGGTCACGGTCCCAGGGTCCTGGGATCGAGCCCCGAGTTGGGCTCCCTGCTCAGCGGGAAGCCTGCTTCTCCCCCTCCCCCCCTGCTTGTGTTCCCTCTATCGCTGCCTCTCTGTCTCTGTCAATTAAATAAATAAAATCTTAAAAAAAAAATAGTTTCCTTTCTTCTTGACTATTTTAAGTGTGCCATTATTCCAGTTCTAACAACTCCTAACTTCTGTTTGCCTTAACATCTTCTGTGTATCCACAAGAGGGTTTTCAATCTCCCAGCCTGGATCATCAGTTTTATCCTCCTCCAGAAAGTCATGTCCACCTGGAATATTTTATCTTCTTGGCATAAACATGATCGCATCTCAAGTCAAATTATATTTAAGTTACGCTGGCCATATCAGACAAGAGGCTCTCATTTTTACACGTTTGGAGAGCAAGATTATTTTTTCTTTTTTAAATCACAGCCTCAACTTGAACCTTTCCATACTGGTATTAATGGTATTTAATGGCAGAAATTCTTTACCTAGGTCTCTTGGCTGTATGGTTGGGTTTAGAACACCTGAATTTCTTAAAATATTTATCTATATTTACTGGTATTACCATAGCTTCCAGGAGATTCTCAAGAGTCCATGACCAAAGACAGAGGTTAAAATCACTGCTTCATAGCTCACTGTTAGCCAATATAACAGGACAATGACCCGGAAAAACCAGGAAATTACCAAATAAAAGACACCTACTTTGTGCATTATAATTGGAGTTTTTGGATACCTTCCTTTGGGCTTCTGGATCTCCTTCTGCCATATTCACCAGCCACACCATTGTTGCTATTGAGAAAGACAAAAATCCAGGTAAGAACTTGAAACACAGAAAGTACATGAATAGAGAACAGGCCATTATCTTTCTACAGAAATCACCAATCTTCTTAATGTTGCCTTAAGAATCCTTAACAATCAGAAATAAATGCATACTTAAAACCACAAAAGACTTTCTTTGATTTTGGCAGATTAAAGATTCTTTATTCTTTTTTTTTTTTTTATAGATTTTATTTATTTATTTGACAGAGAGAGACATAGTGAGAGAGGGAGCACAAGCAGGGGGGGGAGCGGGAGAAGGAGAAGCAGGCTCCCCACCAAGCAGGGAGCCCGATGCGGGGCTCGATCCCAGGACCCTGGGATCACGACCTGAGCCGAAGGCAGACACTTAACAACTGAGCCACCCAGGCCACCCTAAAGAAAAAATTCTAAAACTGAGAGTTTACTCTAGCCTTCAAACTACAGCTGCTATTGTAAAACCATAAATTTCATCATTTCCAGTCCCTGAAAAGTAACCATAGGGAAAACTGTTCAGGCCAGCAAGACCCTACTGAAAAAACAGCTGGACTAGTTGAATATCCTAAAATAATGTGAAATCACTGATGAAAAACACTGATGAAAATTACTTACTGGAACTAAATTAGAGGACAAACCGGGACTCTCAAAAGTATCACATAAATCATTATGATTCTAAGGATGCCTGACCTCTGGGATATTCAATAATGCTAAACTGTGATATACAAGGAATAAAAAAAGGTTAAAAGCAATAAACATAAAGGGGATAGTCAACCGGCCTATTCTATGTCCCTTCCACAAAAATACATATATAATCCATATAGATCTAAATATATAACACATACATCTCTGTCATATTTTAAGGGACAACATGAACACATTAAAATGGTGCTTCTCATATATTGCAGGTGGGATGAAAAATGGAAGAGCCCCTATTGAAGGGGAATTTGGTAACATCTAACAAAACTACATATGCCATTACTCAGCCATAAAAAAGAATGAAGTTGGGGCACCTGGGTGGCTCAGACAGTTAAGCATCCAACTCGATTTCGGCTCAGGGTATGATCTTGGGGTTGTGGGATCCAGCCCCATGTTGGGCTCCGCACTTAGCAGAGTCTGCTTGTCCTACCTCCTACCCCACACCCTCCCGATGCTAGCTCATTCTCTTTCTAGCTCTAAAATAAGTAAAATCTTAAAAAAAAAACAAAACGAAATCTTGCCATTTGCAACATGGATGGACCTAAATGTTTATGCTATTATGCTAAAACAAATGAATAAACAAGACAAAACAGAAGCAAACTCATAAATACGGAGAAGAAAATGGTGGTTGCCAGAGTGGAGGGGGGATGGGCAAAATAGGTGAAGGGGATTAAGAGCTACAAACTTCCAGTTGTAAAATAAGTCATGGATGTAAAGTACAGCAAGGGAAGCAATATAGTCAATAATATTATAATAACTTTGTAAGGTAACAGATGGTTAACTATGCTTACCATGGTGCACATTTCATAATCTATGTAAATACCGAATCACTATGCTGTACGTGTGAAACTACTGTAAGACTGTATGTCAACTACACTACAATTAACAAAAAACTACCTGTGCATTAACTCTTTGACCCAGGAATACCACTTTTGGGAATTTATACCAGAAATACACCAACAATAATACAAAAATACATATAAACAGGGAGCCTGCTTCTCCCTCTCCCTCTGCCCCTGACTTGTGCTCTTTCTCGCTCTCAAATAAATTAAATAAAACTTTAAAAAATAAAAATAAATAAAAAACACAAAGTACAATTAAAACTCTACAAGTGGAAGAAGGCATAAAGAAAAATATAAAAGTTACCTCAGTCTCTAAATCCCACTTCCCAGGGGTAAACACTATTAGCCTTTTGTCAGTTTTTTAAATGTATCATCGGGATTGTATATACACACACACCCAAATCCAAATATAGCTCCCTTCCTCCCATAGGATATTGCATTATTGCTTAAATCTTGCTTTCTTCTGCTTTTTAAAAAGATTTTATTCATTTATTTGAGAGAGGACACAAGCGGGGGCGGGGGCAGAGGGAGAGGGAGAAGCAGACTCCCCAATGAGCAGGAAGCCCGACACAGCGCTTGATCCCAGGACCGTGAGATCACGACCTAAGCCAAAGGCAGATGCTTAACCAACTGAGTCACCTAGGCATCACTAAATCTTGCTTTCTGTATTTAGTATATAATCTTTAACATTAAAAAAAACAACTGGACATATACAGAGCTACCTCATTCTTTCTAATGGTTGTATAATTATCTATTGTATGAATGTACCATAATTATTTGAAAGTGTTCCCTTTGATGGATACTTAAGTTACTTCCACCCAGGATTCACTATCAACATTTGGCGGGACATTCTGTATGCACAAATATAAAATACACAGTCGATTTTAATTTCCAGGAATAACACATAAGAAGCTCACACCCAAATGTTGATTAAGAGAAAAATTAAGAGTTTTGATGTTCAAAACTTCACCTGCTCTTTTCTGCCAAAAAACACAGGAAGCACATGATAATAAATTTATATTGGAAAAAGAGCAAAACAAAGATCCTTGCATTCCAGACAATGAGTTTTCTAACATTTGACCAGACTTCTCCACATACAAGCATAGTCCTCGTCTCTCCACTTCCCCCAAATGATCTCACACTGAGTTCACAAGAAAGATGAAGGTCAACTACAACGTGCTCCCAACTTTACCTCTCTCTTTCACTATGTCTCACTACCTTCTGGCTTTTCTGTCTTCCTTTTCCTTCCTTCCAAGTCTTTCCCTGTTCTCTTCTAATTCCTCTTCCTGAACTCTCAGAGCAATTTCTACCTGCTCTGTTGATAACCTCGCTCCATTAATCAATCATTCCTTCTTGCTGGTCTCTTCACAGGCTTTCTCTACTTGGCTTCTTCCCCTCAACCTTAGAAACACAATTACATCTTCTATCTCCTGGAAACACCTTTCCTCAGGCCTGCTCTCCCCTCAGGTCACCATTGCTCTGCCTGAAGACAGGAATCTCTGTAGTAGGTGATGTTTACTGTACCTCTCCTCCCTCACCACCCATTCTCTGGCCACACCATAACTTCCACCGCCAGCAACAGCAAAACACGGACACACTGCCCTCCCTTTGGAGCATTGCTTCTGGCCCTACCACTCTACTGAAATTGTTCTCTTAAACGTCACTGAAGATGTCCCAAGGCACCAAATTCTATATGGTTTACTTAGTCCTCATCTTTGGCTTCTTTTAGAGCATTTGATGTTCTTTCCTTCTGGAAACTGTTTTTCCAATAACCCAATAGAAAAATAGGCCAAAAAAAAAAAAAAGTCTACAAGGATATATCAAACTGATAACAGGGGTAACTGCTTGGTAAGGTATTAAGATTAGGGATGACAGGTTTTTTTTTTTTTTTTTCTTTTTTTGACAAAGAGAGAGACACAGCGAAAGAGGGAACACAAGCAGGGGGAGTGGGAGAGGGAGAAACAGACTCCCACTGAGCAGGGAGCCTGATGTGGGGCTCGATCCCAGGACCCTGAGATCCTGACCTGAGCCGAAGGCAGACGCTTAATGACTGAGCCACCCAGGCGCTCCTAGGGATGACAGTTATAGTGAAATTTAGCTTTATCTACAATATTTAACTTTTTCCAGCATAATACATTAATGTATTACTTGTGCAATTAAAAATCTTGAAAATATGGAAAAGAATATTATACCCAGTCACAAAACAAGAAATATAAGTATATAGCTAAGAAAAACATGAAAAAAAGTCCAAATAATCACTAATAGTTATTAGTTAATAAGCCAAGATCAAAATAAAACAAGAGGTTATTTTTCGCCTCTTAGTTTCACACACACGTAATCATGAAGGTATAAGGAAACTGGTACCTTACACTACTAAAGGAAATATAAACTGGTATAGCCTTTTTAGGAGGCAATTTGGATCCATCAAAATTTAAAAGCATACACGCTTTGACTTAGCAATTCCATTTTAAAAATTGTATCATACAAAAAATTTCACAAAAATCTACAAGCACTGTTTGTGACAGAAAAGAAATGGAAATGATCTAAAGGTCTATCAACCAGGACATCCTTCTCTGAGTATCTATATAGAGAATACTATGCAACCACTTCCCATGCTGACATGGAAAACATGTCCTGATATTGTTAAGTGAAAAATCCTGATTCTCCCAATTTTCTTCTCTTCCCTTTACTGTTGTTTTCTCTTCATTTTCTCTTTCTCTAAACACAGGAGTTGACAAAATTCTCTCCTTGACATTCTCTTCTCATCCACTTTTGTTGAACCACTCATCCACTTCCGAAGTCTCAACTACCTCTGCTACGCTTTCAATTCCGCACCTCTAATCAACCATTCCCCAAGCACTAGTACTTCACTTCTAAACTTATGCTGGGAATTTCTACCTGGTTCACAGGTCCCACCAACTAAGTAAGATATGGGCTACAGACAAACTAAATGTTCCTCAAACAAGAAAAACACCTCTTCTTCATCACCTTTCCTTCAGGCTTAAAACTTCTCTCATCAGGTGCTAAGAACTACTGATTCTACCTCTAAAACCTCTTGTCAGTCAGTCCTCTTCCTGGATCTGCCATTGACAATACCACAATTCAGATCCTCATTATTTCCCACTTAGATTGTGACCATATCTGCTTCGTTATTAGCCATCACCTCAGTTCTCACCACTCACAATTCAACTTGCACAATGCTGCAAGCCTGTGGAGCCACAGCTCTGGTCACATTACTCTTGTGCTCAGGAACCTTTGATTTCCCAGTGATCACTGAATAGCATACAGATATCTAAACCAGCCACTCAAAGCTATCCCAGATCTTGCCCCAATCTGCCTTCCCAAACTCATCCTCCTAGAACTTCCCCCATTTTTACTCCATGTTCTAGTCAATCTAAACACCTGAAATTTGATAAAGATACTTCACACTTACGTCTCTGAGCCATTCTTTGACAAGCCCACTTATGGAATCAACTCTCCCATCTGTGTTTGCTGAAATCCCACCATCCTTAAAAGGTTCAATCCAAATGCTCTCTCAGCCACAAAGCCTTCCCTGATTCCCCAGCCAGGCTTTCCTTCTTCTGAACTCTCTTTACACTTCAATTGTGCCTCCTCTGAATCTGGTAACAATGCTGGGGGATGTTGCTTATTTATACATTTGTCTTATCTCACCTCTAAACTATAAGCAAAGGAGCTCTGAGTAAGACAAAGTATCTTAAATATCTTTGTCTCCCACAGTGTTCTGTGGCAGCAGGTCAATGCCCAAATGCACACGTACTGAATGATTAGGAAGAATGGGATCCTAAAATAACAAAAAAGGGGCACATTGTGAAGGAACAGTACAATTTTTTCAGTAAGCTAGGGCAAGAGTCCTCTGTAGTAAGTGCTCGATAACTCTTGGGCACCTGGGTGGCTCAGTCGGTTAAGCATCTGCCTTCGGCTCAGGTCATGACCCCAGGGTCCTGGGATCGAGCCCCGCATCAGGCTCCCTGCTCAGCAGGGGCCCTCTCCTGCTCCCCCTACTTGTGTTCTCTCTTTCTCTGAAATAAATAAAAATCTTAAAAAAAAAAAAAAAAGTGCTCGATAACTCTAGACTAGTAAGATTTTATTTTTTTTATTATTTTTTTAAAAAGATTTATTTATTTGTCAGAGAGAGAGCGCGCGCGCACAAGCAGGGGGAGCGGCAGGCAGAGGGAGAAGCAGGCTCCCTGCTGAGCAAGGAGCCCGATGTGGGGCTCAATCCCAGGACTCTGGGATCATGACCTGACCGAAGGCAGATGCCCAACCGACTGAGATACCCAGGCATCCCAGACTAACAAGATTTTAAATGAGAGTAATGGCTCCCCACTCTCTAAATATTTCTTCTATTTCTACACCTACTGAAAACTCTCTTGAACCAGTGTCAGGTGGAAGACAATAGTTTGCAAGGCAACAGGGATGTGTAGAAGTTGTCTTAATGTTATGCATTTAAGATGAGAAAAAGTATCATAATAATGACCATAATTACATGTGTTTGAGTTCCTATAAATTCTAAGCTGAGTACTAATTTAACATCTTTCCAAAATACTTACAGGAGTAAATAAGAGCTGGAAAGAGAGTTTCATTTCTCTCCTGAGCTGTTTCAACCAGCATACGAAGTGGGCCTTTTGGACACAAAACAGCCACTAAATCTAGAAAGAGAAAAAAAAAATCTGGAAAAATGTGTTGGCTAAACTTACAAATGGGTGTGTTAGGGAGGAATTAACCAAGGGAAATGGGTTAATGTCTTGTTTACGCAGGAAGATGTTGAATGAATACGAAATAAACAGCAGGTAAACAGATGGGGGAAAAACAACCTAAACAAAATACACAAAACCACACAGATGATCAGTGTAAATTTTGCTTTGGATTTGCCTATTTGGTTAGTTTACAATGTATCATCACAGAGTTCCAGGAATAAGTCTTCCCGGTTTGAAGAAAAGAGGCAGAGATAATGACAAGACAGAACTATTCTAGAGCTATTGTCAATTTCCAATAAGCAGAAACAAAGACAAGCCATTTCTGAACAAATCATATCTACGAGCAACAGATAGAAGCTTTACAACGAGAGGAATTTAATAGAGGGGATGACTGAATTTTTCAAAATATGAAGAGCAACGTAACAGAATCATTCCTTTTTAAAAATAGTGCATGTACTACTTAGGGATACTTGAATTAAAGGATAGTAAATTTAAACAAAACAAAATAAATCTTTGCATGAAAACCTTTTAGTATTTCTTTTGTACTTCTGTCAAAAGCACTTCACACTGTCAGGTCTTAGAATGCATGTGGTGCTGAAAAGTGGGTTATTTTTTCAAAAAAACAGCAACTCAGAACAAAAGCAATTTGCCTAAACTATTCTTGATTCTACCACCATCTCTTTCCATCAACTGCAATTTTTCTGACATTTTCTGTGCCATAAAAATCCAGAATATAGAAATACAGAAAATTTCAAACATTTAAAAATATTAAAACAGGTGTAGCTAAATTTGTGAAGGAAGACTTCACAGCCTGTGTAGACATCACCTTCAGATGCATTTAAGTAAAAAAAAAACCCCACACCTGCAAGTGGTCATGTCTCCTTGAATACTACATTGACTACCACTAATATAATAAAACACACACAAAGAATTCTCTGCTCTCACTGCTTCCACTTTGATTTGTTTTGGATGAGAAAAGGGAGATTTGCTGCACTCTGAAATAAGGAGATTTTCAACCTGTTTGAAGCTGCATGTCGTGTAACTATCTTGGTTTTATGACATGCTGCCCCTAATAGAAGTGCTAAATGTTAAACTCCCTTATTTTTAGAGCAATTAAAGTGAATTTTGCTTAAAAAATTTTAGAACCTGTGGGACAAATTAAAAAATCTTCAGACATTGTAAAAAGGGACTTGAGAATCACTACTCTAAGTAGTGGATACAAAAGTCTCTTAAAGGAACTCAAAGATCTGGAGAAATAATCATTTGTATCATGTATGGAAGAAAGAGTGTTGACGGGAGAAACAGTGTAACGTAGTAGAAAGAATACTGGACTTGGGATTCAGATTCTAGACCAAACAGTGTTAAACTTGGGCAAATACTTCACCTCTCTAAACTTCAGGTCTATTAGGTCCAGTAAAACAGGAATTACTGCCTTGATTACTTTACAGGATTATATATTTTTAAAAATAACAGCTAACATTTATTGATACTGTTCTAAGTGTGTTATATGTATTTTTTCATTTAATCTTCATAATAACTAAGACTTAAGGGTTGATCATTGTGCTAGAGTCACACAGCCAATAAATGATAGGAGAGGAGCCTGGATTTGAACCAGATACGGCTGCCTCCAGAACTGGCACTCTGTTGTTTTTGAACATACAAAAATAGAACCAGACTCTTTATTAAAATTCACCTCTGATGTCTGACTGATGATAGATATATGCCATGTTCCATTTAATTAAGTTTTAACTGGATTGAGTTTGTCACAATGGTGCTCTCTGAGGTCTGTAGCCCGAGGCTGGTAGGGACGGTCAAAGTCCCACTGAAACACTTGTTCAAAAGCCCAGCATTGTATACCTTTAAAGGTGAGATGGGCACTATTAACAACGTCTGGAAATCCACAATGGATAAAGTGAGGCCTGTACTGTGGCTTTAATATGTACAGAGACATGATAACCTTGATACATATTTTGAGTATCTGTGAGGCCAGAGATTCTTGTAGTCATTCTCCTCAAAGAGGAAAACCTTGGATAAGTAATTGCTGTTGCTATCATTGGTGGAACCAGATGATTAAACCATGGCAATGGCCCAAGAGTCTGTAAAAAAGCACAGATGGAGCCAACTGTTGACTAGGATAAGGTGACTAGCTAAAGTTCATCTAATTTTGCTGACCCCTGGATCCCACTCTTCGATCAAGGATGTCTGGATTAGGTAATGAAAAGAAGGAGCTCTTCAGTAAGCTTCATCACATATAATTTTGATGCTGTTCATAAGGTGTACAAACTCCCACTGGCTGTTCACTGGCTCCCCAGGTAGCCACAGGTCCAAGAAAGGGGTGAGCTCCTCTAGCACCTTGTCAACAAGCAAGGGACTGAGAACAGAAGAAGCCGCCTCTCTTGTAGGTGTGATACTCCAGAAGGCCCAGACTTAGCTGTATCCTGTAGGTAACATTAGCAAGGAGGCCCTGGTAGCTGGCCTGAGCTTGTAGAATGCTGCCTCCATAACCCAGAGAATGACGTGGAGCTTCACGGGTTCAGGGCCTGTGAGAACCTGTTTACAGGAGAGTTCAGTATGCGCTCTCCAACTGCCTCTCTAAGGGTGTACAGCATGGGACTGAGGAGGGCAGTTTCTCAAACCAGAATCCATGGGCAACTTCTGATCATCATGGGTGGTCCAGAGATTTCAGGTGTGAGAGGAGGTTGCTATAGCTTCTACAGTGAATGATTCTCTGGAGGGGACTTTAACAGAAGTGATTGTTCTCTTACAATCTGGACAGATTCTAGAGCTCTTTATCGTCGGGGGCCCCAATTCAAGATGGGCCAATTTGTAACAGTATAAACAGGCTTAAGTAAAATTTGTAAATGAGGAATATGCTGCCTCCAGATCCCAAAAAGCCCTAAAATATACTGGGCTTGTTTTAACATTGTGGGCGTAGGGAGGTTCTGTTGCTATTTCTTGACAGTGTCAGAGATACAGAAGCCTTACTAAAAAATCTTCAGGAACTCAACCGGGGTGGCAAAACCTTGTACTATGTACAGGCAAATGCCCACCCCCTTTTTTGAGCTCCTGTGTGACTATTTGTATGTCTTCAATGAATATGTCAAATGAATCTCTTCAGAGGATAATATCATCGATGTGATGTTCTATCTGTGCTCCTGGAGAAAGCTGGATGTGGTTAAGATCTAGTCAACAAAAATTGTATGCAAAGGTAGGGCTGCGGAAGAATTCCACCAGCAGCCAGGTAATGATACAATGTGTCCCTCTGAAGGTGAAGGCAAACTGCAGCTGTTGAAAAAGTCACTGAACAGAAGAACATACTACTAAAACCTCCGACTGCAAAGTATTTACCAGTTGCTGATTGGGTGGGGGCCAGAGTTGGCCAGAACAAAGCGATACAATAATACACCGGGACTCTGAAAACCATCAGGTGCTATATCACCTAAGGTCTTCATGAAAGACACAGAGAGTACATGACTATAGTTCTAGGACTGCTTGCTCAAATATGAGAACAGAACCATTTAATTCTATTTCCATGGACTTTTTCCTCATCAAGTGGGGATGATGAGGATTCCTACTACAGGTCACCTGACATTTTAATAAGCATTTGAATAGGGATAAAATTATTATATAGAGACCACATACTGACCTCTGGAAGTGGCTCTCTTTCTGGCTTTCATGCAGGGTGACAGCTGGAGAGCACACACCTATACAGCTGCTTTTGTCATTCATGGCAAAGATACACTGTGACCGTTTGGAACGCATGTGACACTCGTTTATCAATTTGAATCTCACACTGCCAAAGTAAGTTTTGTTTTTAAAACAATAATTCTACCCAAGTTGCCTTATAAAAAGTAGGTGTTCTAATTTTGATTTAAAAACTAATTGAGCATTTTATGTGTGTGAAGCACTCTGCTAGTGCTTTTCAACATAGGTTCTGAACTCTTACAACTCAGAAGTACCGTGCCCATTTTCCAAATGAGGGAACTGAAGTTCAAAGAGTCAGGCTTTTTCTTAGCATCACAAAGACTGTTGGTGGTGGAGACAGGTTTTAAATCTAAGTCTTCTGAAGAGAAGTCTATGGATCCTTCCACTAATCCATCACTGGCTTAAACTGGGGGACAGTAAGACAACATTTTTAAAGAACTGAACCTCAAAAAAATGGAAATCTTTGTATGAAAAAGACACTATAGCTAATTAATTATTTATTGAAGAGCTATGAGGTGTAACTGTTATCACTTTCCTAAGTCAAGATAACTGGAAAAGGAAGGGAAACACACCAGTGAGGTACTTCTGTGATGAACAAAATGTCAGTCTTGAGTTTTACCATATACTGAAATCACAGCCAAGATGAGCCACGCTGTCCATTCTGGAAGGTACTTGATAAATACCAGGGCCATGAGGGCACTGATCATAATGAGATATGCCTGCTGGAGTCGCAGAGGCCCTTTCCAGTGAATGGCAATCATTCCCACCACACCAAAATTCCAGATCAGAAGTGCAACAGTAATGTAGTCCATGGCAACATTGTAGGTTTTAAACACTTCCCTGAAAAAAATTAAACAGAGATCTAAAATTATTTATGTACAGTAATTTTCATCAAAACATTGTTTAGAAATATGGTTCCCTCAAATTAGATATTCATATCCTACCTTCATATTTTTACCATATCTTATATCAAACTGTGCTATTTAACAGTTTTCTTCAAATTCACTTTTTCTCTCAAGTTGAGCTTACTTTAACAGAAAACTCTGTATCATTCATATAAATGGGAAACCAGTATCATAGGTCATAGCTGTAAAAGTAAATACAAAAACTAAAAAAAGGCCACATATCACTTAAAATGCCACAATGGATGGAGTGCCTGGGTGGCTCAATCGGGTAAGCCTCTACTTTTGGCTCGGGTCATGATCCCGGTCCTGGGATCAAGTCCCATGTCCAGCTCCCTGCTTGGCAGGAAGTCTACTTCTCCCTCTGTCCCTCCCCACCCCCTCGCGTGTACAGGCTCTCTCTCAGATGAATAAATAAAATCTTAAAAAAAAAAAAAATGCCACAATGGAAAGAAACCCTAGTTTAAAATATCTGAAATTAGAAAAATTAAACATCCACAATAAATTTTATAGCTAAGACATATGATGTTATTTTCATAAAATGAAATTTAGTGCAGCCATGAAAAAAATATATTTTATAATACTAACTAGTCTTAAACATACCAAGTACAAACTACAAATGGAAACAATCATAATTTAAGAGTATTTCATCAACAAAGTACATGGCTTTAAGTGACAGTTATATAGCTCAGAGTTAATTTCTGAAAAACAGAATATTTCACCACTTACCCCAAGTAAATGAATGAGAAAAAGAACAGCAACAACAGAGATGAAATAATAAGCCAGGCATGAATGACCTAGAAAAGAAAGCATTTCAATATAATTAACAGATCCCATACCCTAAAGAAAGGCAAATTTCTTACTTCAAAAATAATGTATTATTTCTGTATATGTTATTCTTCTCAAATAGCAGAACTCAAACTGACTTCAGGATCAGTGCATACTTATATTGGAACTCTTTGGTACTGAACTACTCAGAATAGAAAATAGAAAATTCAGCAAGACATATATAGACCTTTGTTCCTTTAGAAATATGTGAAATTTTTAAAATAATGCATTCTAAAATAAATTCTCAACAGAGCCAACAGTCAACATTTAAACTTTAAAGAAGCAATATTTTCAATGGAAAAATTCTGTGATATTTCTGAAATAAACAAATAAATTGAATGAAATAAAATTCAATGAAACTGAAAATAAGATAGTCCACTGACTTTTGTATATCTACAAGTATATTTTAAAATAGGCCTTAAGTTACATAGCCATTTGATAATATTCAGAATCTAAAGTTTCAGTAAGCATTATAATGCTTTCTGTTTATTTTACATGGTTCATTAATAAGTAGTAATATTACAAATTCTTTGGAACACTTATAAGTCAGTCCATCCTTATTATGCAGAATTCATACAACACTATGTAAATGTTAGTCACTATTACTCATGTATAGCTTATGAATATGAGAGAATCAGATTTGACTTTTGTAACCTGTTACACAAGATGAACATTTTAAATGGTAATTTTATGTAATGGATGTATTTGGGAAAATACTATACAACTCAGGGAGCCTGGGGTTTTTAAGAACAGAATGGAGAAGCACAAAAATTTGTCAAGTAATTTCCAAACCTGAAATTATTTTGAGGTGGATACACTCATTATATGCTTTAATCTTTCAATGAAGTTTACTATTCCAAATATCTTTTTTTTTTTAAGATTTTATTTTATTTATTTGACAGAGAGAGTATAAGCAGGGGTAGTGGCAGAGGGAGAGAGAGAAGCAAGCTCCCCACTGAGCGGGGAGCCCAACGCAGAGCTCGATCCCAGGACCCCAGGATCATGACCTGAACCAAAGGCAGACACTTAACTGACTGAGCCACCCAGGCATCCCCCAAACATCATCTCTTAACTGGAATATTATTTTGTCTTCGTTAAAAAAAAACAAAACAAAAAACTCCCACACCCACCTCCCAGATCCAGTTGTTCCAATAATCAGGCTCTAAGCTATCAAAATCTAGTTGTGATTAAAACATATGTTAATTTTCTCTTGTGGTTTTGTTCTGATCACCCAAGGTGATCTGTAATTATTAATTCCTTTGAAAGAAAAGATTTCTTAAAAATTCTTGCTGCCTCGGGTGCCTGGGTGGCTCAGTTGGTTAAGTGACTGCCTTTGGCTCAGGTCATGATCCTGGAGTCCCGGGATCGAGTCCCGCATCAGGCTCCCTGCTCAGCGGGGAGTCTGCTTCTCTCTCTGACCCTCTTCCCTCTTGTGCTATCTCTCATTCTCTCTCAAATAAATAAATAAAAATCTTTAATAAAAAAAAATTCTTGCTGCCTCTTTTTCTTTAAAACAACTTCATAACACGGTACAATTTGGGAAAAGGTTAAAAGAATGCCTTTACATGGAAGTTGGTGTTCTTTGGACATTCAAATATTCTAAATTGACTATATGAATACAACAAACTTAATTTCCGGTGTCCTTCCACAAAAATAAATAATTTATTATAAAAATGTTCAAGGGGCACCTGGGTGGCTCAGTCGGTTAAACGTCTGCCTTTGGCTCAGGTCATGATTTCAGGGTTCTGCGATTGAGTTCCGTGCCTCCCTCTCCCTCTGCCCCTCCTCCCCACTCGTGCTCTCTCTTGTTCTCTCAAATAAATAAATAAAATCTTTAAAAAAAATTTTTTTTTTCAAACACACAGCAAAGTTTAAAGAATTTTACAGCTACCATTCACATTTTGCTGTACTTGCTTTGTAGCATTTCTATCCCTCTCTCCTTCCTTTTTATTTTTAATATATATCAAAGTAAATTAAAGACACCTGTTCATTTCCCTCTCAAAATATTCAACTTTAGCAAAATATTCTAAAGGGAGCCCTTACTCTATTTTATCTGCAGAAAATCCAAAAAAGCTTAAGCAGAAAGGAACCTCCCTGTGGGCATCCCACCCCATCATGCTCATAAGACTCAGCTTCAGAGATAATCCAAGTTACAAAACTAAGAAGTATATAAAATATTACAAAACAGAAAAGCTTTACAAAGTGGAAGATGTACATTGGTACTCTGTATTAAGATCCGACTTAAATGGCCAGAGTAAGGGGCGCCTGGGTGGCTCAGTTGTTAAGCATCTGCCTTCGACTCACGTCCTGATCCCCGGGTCCTGGGATCGAGCCCCGCATCGGGCTCCGTGCTCTGTGGGAAGCCTGCTTCTCCCTCTCTCTCTGCCCCTGCTTGTGTTCCCTCTCTCAATGTCTCTCTGTCAAATAAATAAATAAAAATCTTAAAAAAAAAAAAAAAAGGCCAGAGTAAATACTGAATACTAGAAATTCTCATCTTTCTTGAGAAATGCTCTTTACCTTGTTTTTCTCAGCAAGGGAACATGGGGATCGTGTTTAAGAAAGCGCTGTTCTGAATACAAAAATAACGTATGTATAACACTGAGAAGATAGAGAAACACTAAAGGAAGAAAACCATTCCCACTGACCAGGGACAACCAAAGTTGTTATTAACATGTTTTTCAGGCATGTTTTCTGTCGGTGTGTATAAAGGCCTTTTAACATTATAATCAAGTAATATAGTTTAGCATTTTGCTTTTTAAAACATTTTTTTATTAGACACATTCTCATGCCACCAAATACTTTTTGAAAATATGATTTTTAAATGAGTAAATTGTAATATTCTACATATATGGACGAACCCACAATTTTACCTTTTCTTATTTATTTAGCCTTTTTTTTCTTATTTATTTAACCTTTTCTTATTCCATGTTTCTTATGGAACTTATGGTTTTCCACGTTATTCCAATTATAATTTATGCTAGGATAAAAGTCCTAGCATGCAAATATTTTTCTGCATTTCAGATTATTTCTCTCAGATATATCATGAAAGCAAAATTATGGAATCAAAGTGTACAGATTTTTCTAATTACTATTGATATATATTGGCTTAATGACTTCACAAAAAAAAGACTATATTAATCTTCACCAAGTCAATAGGTGAACTATGTTAATTTGTTATTTTAGTATGTTTCTGTTTCTACCACTGAGGAAACATATATACACATCTGTCTCTGTCTCTCTCCTGGCCATCTATACTTCCTTTGTAATTCCTCTGGCTTGGGTTTTTAAAAATTTATTAGGCTGTTCATAATTTTTTTTTTTTTAAGATTTTATTTTTTTAAAGTAATCTCTACACCCAATGTGGGGCTCAAACTTACAACCCTGAGATCAAGAGCTGCATGCTCTAATGTTCTATAATATTCATGTTCATAATTTTCTGAATGATTTGTAAGTTCTCTTCGTATTGTAAAGATATTAAATGCCCTCTGTCTGTAATAATGGTTTCTGGTCACTGATGTTATGATTTTCTTAATTATTACCTGAATTCAAAGCCTCTTCTGATGATGACTAAATAGCACTTCCCTTTTTCTAGATCAGATGGTAAAACAGGCTTTTTTCTCATCTTGCAAAAATCCCTAGTTCAGCTTTCCTGTGCTAAAGGCTCTGAAAGAAGAGCCCTGCTTCAGTACAGAACAGCAAGCATCTCCTCTAAACCCTGAACTGTCCAGGCCAGAAATCACACGGCTTTAATAAGTTATATAGTTTCATTTCTAACCGTGGTATGTAATAATTAACTGCCTTTTCAGTTTCTACCTTCTTCAAGTTTGTTTGGTCTTTTAGCTTCTTGTGCTTCTCAGAGACATTGCACAATCAACCACTGACATAACAAATCCTCCAGGTTTATTTCCAAACAGGTCCTGGCAAGTTTCTGAGTATCTGACTTTTTCAAAAGCTCCTTTTATTTTAGACTAGGAACCAAAGTAAACAACTTGTTCCTATAGAATTGGCTGTGCCTGCTAAGACTTGAACTTAACATTAAAAAACAAAACAACACGAATGAACAAATAAATGTGGCTGAAAATAAACCCTTTTTAGACTAAAATGAGATGTAACTAAAAGATGCACAAAACTGGCCAAAATATATCGAGACAGGTTTGAGGTGCCACGGAGTGAAAGCACATCTACCCTGTCTCCCCTGCCGAATGCAACCGTAAAAACTGGATAGAATGCATGCAGCTGCTAGGTGAGGACTCAGACAAGTGGACAGAGTCAGGTGGGCTGTGGAATTAGAAGTGAGTTTATCACGTTTTCCCCTCCAGTACTACCCTCCCCCATCAGAACTCAGTGCAACCCCAAACGGGCATTAGCAAGATAGTGAGAGCTCTAGAGAAGCCTAGTTCTGGATAAGCAACAGGAAAGAGGTCTCCTAACACCAAAAGAGAATGCAACAATCTCACTTTTTGGCTTTTTCCTTTCACCATTCTCTCACACCCAGCTATCAAACAATCCTGTGGGGTTGGTATTAAGGGTAGCAGGAGCCTAAAATTCAGACGGAGAGGAAGCTTCCTCTCTAACTGGAGGAGCTTCAGTTCTTAGAAAGTGGGGCAGATGGCACTTGCTTTTTTCTCTCTCTGTCCTACCACTTCTTGTCCCTGTCGCTGGTAAAATAAATCAGCTTTCTGGCTGGAGGAATGGAACAGGGACGTCCAAAAGAACCAAAAAGTACCAGGGAGATCACAGAAAGGAAGCTCAAGAAAGCAAGCTTTTAAAACTGGTATGAACTTACGGGCCCATCCTGAAGGTGTGCAGGTGCGGATATGACCCTAAATAGGATACAGACTCCCCATAAAAGGTGAAGAACGAAAGTAGCATATAATCCAGATAAGAGTCACAAAGTGAGGGGCGCCTGGGTGGCTCAGCTGGTTAAGCGTCTGCCTTTGGCTCAGGTCATAATCCCAGGGTCCTGGGATCGAGCCCCGCATCATGCTCCCTGCCCAGTGGGTAGTCTGCCTCTCTGCCCCTCTCCCCCCTTGTTCACACTCTCTCTCTCAAATAAATAAATATTAAAAAGAAAAGAGTCACACAAAGTGAGTCCAATAAAGCAGAGAAACAGAATTAGCCTGTAAACACGTATATACAGAAAAGGTAACTGTCATGAGGATATTTAAACAGGGGGAGGAGAATGCTTTGCAGCACGGGTTTGTATCATTTGCTCTTTGGTTTCCTGAGTATTGATGACTACCTCCCATCATCACAGACACCTTTGTCTTCAATCTTTTCCACTTGCTAATGTCAGACTGCAGATGCTCATCACTTGGGTTAACACTTCCACCCACTCAAATGTTCAACAAGCAAGGTTAAATTGTGTATAATTTTAAAATTCGTGAACACTGGAATGGTATTTGATCTTACGAGGAACTAACCAAATGCAAATTAAGGCATTTTGTTTCACCTATAAAAATTAGCACAGAATTTTAAAAATTCAGTGCTGGTAAAGGTAAGACAGTCTCATTCACAACTAGTGTTAAGTACAAACTGATACTACCATTTGGAAAAAAGGAATTTTGCACACCATGATAATTAAAAATATGTAGATAGGGGCACCTGGGTGGCTAAGTCGGTTAAGCGCCTGCCTCTGGCTCAGGTCATGATCCCAGGGTCCTGGGATCGAGCCCCATGGCGGGCTCCCTGCTCAGCGGGGAGTCTGCTTTTCCCTCTCCCTCTGCCCCTCCCCACCACTCGTGCTCTCTCTCGCTCTCTTGCACTCTCACTCAAATAAATGAAATAAAATTTTAAAAATGTAGATAATTTGCCCCATAAATTCTGTGTCGAGGGTTTTACCCTAAGGAAATAATTTGAAAAACTGAAAAAGTTCCATAAAGGTATTCACTGTTTTTTTAGAATAGTAAAAAAATGGAAATGACTTAAATGTCCAACATCAGGGAAATTAGGGTAAGTAAATTATAATACACTCATTGAGTCAAATGTTACATAGCCTTTAGACATATTTTCTGAGAATTTAAATATGGAAAAATGCTTATGCCAAAGTAAAAGTTAGGAAAGGACACATTTATTATACATTTTATTTTAACCATGTTAAACATATAGAGAAATAAATACTAGAAGGAAATAGAGTAGACTTCAACATTTGGAAAGTTATCATTTATTACTTTTATTTGAGAAAGACCCTAAAGTCTCATGACTTGTAATAATTTGTGATTTCTCTGAGGCATGCATCTGAAATATGTGCCAGGTGGCTAAAATTCAAGAGTGAATCCCTTAGCTAGTGGGTGAGCTAAGGGAGCAGAGCCTGGGAGGGTTGGGCCTGTGTTTTTCCTACACAATCTCTCCTGCCCTTATTTCCCAAGGAAAGAACTAGTGCTACTGCAGGAGAGACAGTGAAGGAATGGATGGCTCCCAATGTATAAGTGGGAATATAACCAGTCACCAATGAATTTAACACCAGTGTCTGCAGAAGGCTCTAGTGGTCTGCACTCAGGAAAATCTGAATTTTTTAAGTTATATTACTTTATAGGGATAATTATATCCTATAATACTATTTGCAAATGAGGGAATTCACAAAGGTCTTAGGATATAACCTGGAATGTCCTAAGTATACTGCAAATCAAAAAGTTAAAACCATTTAGAATGTGATATGATACGAAAACATTTGTTTTTCATTTATGTCTTTTTGTGTTTTTTTAAATGTTCTACAATAAGGGGGAAAAAACTAAAAATTAAATCAGTTCTAGAATATATAGCCCTTTTCTCTACTAGACCAAGTAAGGCATGTGACAGGAAAACCCAATCACAAAAAGAACATGGTGGAAAGCAAGGCTCCATGTTTCATCCTCACCTTATAGCACCTGTATTTATACAGAACCACCAGGAGAATAGTCATGACAACAATGACGCTGATCATGATAGCAGCATTCAGAATTGAGTGCAGGGCTCTCTGCCCCACAGTCTCTGTATCTTCCGTGAATGGGGTATAGATTCTATAATAAAATAGAAAAGCCCGAAGTAAGTATTAATGGATATCTCAAACCACATCCCTCTCCAACACCAGTTTTGTTTCCTTGATTCAACTGATATGACCTTTTTCCATCTCAGCAATCTAGCCAAGAATTTTAGCTAAGAAAATGAGCTATACTCTAAAATAAGTGCTTCAAAATAAGAGAGATCTAAAATGTGGAGAGGTGGACTTTTGTGAGCCAGACACTAGCTCCATCTAGTGGATGCTTTATATTGAAATAATTACTCAAGAAATGCTTTCTCCACAGCTTATTAGTGATTTGTTTAAAGAACTGGATTCTACCACATAAACTACCTAAGCTACAAGTACTTGTCAAAAGAAGGTGGCTTATATAATAATGGCTTACAATTACTTTTTTTTTCACCTACAGGGTGACTGCAACTGGAGTTGTTTTGATATAATGTCACATACCCATCTTCCCTTGGGTTTCTCATTCATATAAACACATTTATTCCAGGTTCCAGTGTTCCCAGCTACAGGACTTTATTTCTGACTCCCTGACAGGTGTGGCCATGAGACAACGTGTGGCCAATGAGTTATAAGTGGATATGTTGTGTGGAACTTCTAAGAAAGGCGTTAATTCTGCTGAGAGATGGGTCTTAGGTCCTTTTCTCCCCCACTACTTCCTGCTTCCTGTTGTCTGAATTGAAGCCTGGGACTCCAGTACCAATAAGGAACCTTGAATAACCTAAAGGGTAGAAGCCAAAGAAAAGGGAAAGAAGGAGCCTGAGTCCTTGAGGAAAGGTGAAGCTATACTACCAGTCTGGACTGACCACCCTGTACCATTCTCTGGGAGAGAGATAAAATATGTATACCATTTAAACCAGTTGTTTTGATTTCCTACAACAGGCTCAGAAAACTTTCTGTTAAGGACTAAAGAGTACAAATTTTAAGTTTTCTGGGTCATACTGTCTCTGTTGCAACCACTGAACCCTCCCACTGTAGTATGAAGGCAGCATAGACAATATACAAATGAATGAACGTGATTATGTTCCAGTAAAACTTTATTTACAAAAATAGGTGGTGGCAGGCAGATCTGCCCTGTGGACTATGGCTTGCTAACCCTGTTCTATAATGTACAGCCAAAATTAACTCTAAGCTATACAGATAATATTCCCCAGTCTCTTTTGACTGCTGTCTCCAACCCCCACCCTTTACTCTTGCCTTAGTCTTTCTCCCAAAAGATTAAAAGCTTGGCTTTTAGAACGCCACACAGTTTGCTAATTCAAATTCCAAAATTCATTTAAAACTTTGTTTGAGCCCTATAGGGGCCCTACAGAGTCCCAGAGACAAAACTAAGTGAATCTGAATCAAAGCATTTTTCTTGAAGGCGTAGGGCTCATACCAACAGCACCAGAGAATCTACACAACAATCCCCCCCAAGTCTAGAGAATGCCAGCTTGCATTAATTCTTCATCTTTTCATTTAGCAACTTTTTTTTGTTGAGCATTTATTACATAACTAGCTGTAGAAACAATCTGCCCTCATAGGCCTTACGGTATAGGTATAGAAGGAAACCAGGCTTTAAATAATGTAAATAAATAATATATTTGCATATTGTGAAAAGAACAGGTTGCTATGAGAAAGAATATCGGGAAGGACCTAATTCTGTTACAAGGATCAGGGAAATTACCTTTGAGGACTTAACATTTAAGCAAAGATGAGAAGGACAATAGAATTCATCCATCAAATCTAGAAAAGGAAAGAATGTTCCAGCAGAAGAACAATGGGACCAATGGCCCTGAGGTGGAAAAGATTAATATTCAACTCTTTACCTGCTCAATTTCAAATAAATTCAGTCCTAACCAGTGACACCATATGTGAAATAGAATCCTGTAGCTCTCATTTTCTCTACTTAAAGCATCAAATAATAACCCCTCATTCTGTCAACTGCTCTGGCTGTCAGAGAGGATGAACTCTCTAGCCTTTGTGCCCCATCAAAGCAAAGGCCTCCGAGGTGATGATGACAACAAAGAAAAGCCAGACCGGCCTTGAGAATAATAAAACACTCATACATACAGCTGTCCATCCTTCCGGGTATAGAAGCTGACTGATTTGATGGTAGCCACGACCACCACCATACAGAGAGTCACGGGTACAAAGAGCATGATCACATGTTTGGCGCCATATTTCAATGTCAGCTCTTCATCTTCTTCTTCATCTTGTTCCACCACCTGCCGTGAGTTACCCTGGGGTCGTCCATTAGATAATGGCCCGGGGTTGCCATGTCTCCGCCTTTCGCTGGTGTGCTCATGCCGTTCTCTACTGTCATTCTAAAAGCACAAGAGAAACTTTTTTCAGGAAGTCAGACTCTCAGTAGAATCAAGGTATTCTATAAAAACAGAAAATGGAATAATTAGACCTGAGATTAAGAAGAGGCCCATCATTACTTGAGTTCTAAAAACCCGAGGCAAGAAAGAATCAATTCGGGCGCCTGGGTGGCTCAGTTGGTTAAGCGACTGCCTTTGGCTCAGGTCATGATCCTGGAGTCCCGGGATCGAGTCCCGCATCGGGCTCC